TGTCATTAGCACCTCTAGTAATATATTTACTGAGAAAAATATTGACGTGTTTAATACTTATTTTACCCGCTGTATCAGAATATTCAAGTTCTGAGAAAAAAAATCAACCATAAATCGGAATTTTATTAATTAACTTGAGTTGGATCACCAGTACARGACATCAGCTGCCTTTTGCATGAAATAGCTGTAGCAATAAATTATTTATTAGCACGTATGTTCATTTGTATTTCATTAAATTAGTCACATACATTGATTAACATGTTACCACTGTGTGTGAATAAAATGCAAAGAAATGCATGGCTTGTATTGCTAACAGTATTCTGATTTGCTGCAAGAACAGGGCTATTCATCTAAATTGCTCCGGGGCCACAGTTACTGCAGGCCTACAGCTGAGGGGACGAACGTCCAGCAATTAGTTTAGTTGAGCTTAGTTTAGTTATTCATTCATTTTTATAAAAATCAACACAAATTCTATATACAATAAAAATATAAATCATAAATGAAAGGTAGCAGAAGAGAAAAATCTTATATCTGCGCCTTTTCTCAAAAATATTTTTTAAACCAAATAATCTTCAAATAACAAAAAGTCATTATGTAAATAAACCAAGTATTACAAAGATCTGCTACCTTTGATACAGTTTATTTTGCTGCTTTTAATCATTAAAACAACATACAGAGCCCTTTAAAAGTAGTGATAATTAAACAATATCAAAACCAAAAAGAACACATTRTGCCTCCTATTTACCACAAAAAATATTTTGACATCTCTGACCTGACAAATTTTTAAAGCAATTTTATTTTCACTTTCGTAGTTTTATCTTCAACTGCTTGTAGTTTTAACTGTCTTGGGTGTTTAATGGATTTTTTTTACCAGCTTGTAGTCAAGATTCTGGTGTTTCTGTAGACACCAAACATGTCTATGTTGAACTAAAAGAACTCATAGTAATTAAAGTAGAAAACCAGGGGGCTTAAGAAATGAAWGAACCAATTGGCGGGCCGAATGTGGCCCGCCGGCCRCCAATTGAATAGCCCTGTGCTAGAACTTGATTATGCCTGGTGTGACATCATTCCCAAATCAGCGTTCAGACCATCTCTGTTATAAATAGACAAAAGACTGGAATCTGGAAGTTAAAGCCACACAAGATGAGTGCCCCCTAGTGGCTGAACAGTATCTAAGGTTTTTGGTGGTAGAGCCTGGCCATCACAAAAAAAAAAAAAAAATACAAAATACAAAATATACCATGGCAGCACCTTTAAATAAGATAATTTGATTTCCACAGTGGAAATGACCAGATCACTTCATCCATCTTTGTTTATATTGATGGYTTCAACCTGGTTAATACACCAGTTGTTTGCTTCAGAACGTCTCTGTTGCATTTCTGTTCCAGATATCCAAGTCTTAGGAGTGGAGCCATTCTTTCTTTTTTTTTTTCCTTTTTTTTTTTTTTTTTTTTTTTTTTTTTTTTTTTTTTTTGCCAGTGGCAGCTTTAGATTACTGCTAGCTCATTTTAGAGGACCTGTGACCTATACTTAGGAGACAGCATTGTACTATTGTTTTATTATAACAATGTTACATGTGCAGTAGGTAACTTTTATTTAAAAAAAACATGTATTTTTTATATATTTGTTAGAATTGTCACTATGTCCTGACAGTAGAACATGAGACCGATAATCTGTGAAAAAATAAAGCTCCTCTGGCTCGTCGTGGTGGTACTGCACCCATTTGCAGAAATACACCACTCCTGGTCAGAAACAGCCAATAAGAGACCAAAGAGTTGTCTTACCAGTGTCAATCATGCATCTGAGCTGCACCCTTCCCTTCACCTCTGTGGAAGCAGGGCTGWAGAGCAGCAGAGAGCAAAGGTGAGGGACCTGTAACGTGTGTTTGTTCAGATTTTCAGGCTAAGTCCACTGTTTTCTCAAAAGTCCCAACTGCAGCTTCAATAAAACTAGGTCTGCACGGACACGTAACACGTTCCTGTTTGCCACTGATCAGCTCTGAGCCGGTGTGTTAATCCTCCACTGAACTCGTATTATACAGTGATCATCATGTTCTTATATTGTCTATAGCTCCACAGTTCCAAAATGGGTACATAAGGCCGTCATCCCAATAGTGAAGGCGCTGGAAAGGTACGTTCCTCAGCCGTACGCCGGGGAGATCCGAGGCTTGAGCTCATTCCTCGGAGGAAACTTGGTCGACGTCATCCTTCTCAACTTTGCCTATGAGGTCACTGCGTACGTATGAGATCAACTTTGTCCCAACGTYTGTACAGTCCACTGCACAGTTTTGATAAACTTAGTATTTAAAMTTACATGAGCCTACTGGAGTCCACTCAGTAATGCTAGCTAACTTTCTGTATCCATAGATTTTGCACCAGCATCCTGGCTCAGGACAAAAGAGGGAACGTGTATCATGGCAGGAATCTTGACTATCAACATCCTTCTCTGAAGAATCTGACTGTTAACTTAATTTTTCGCAAGAATGGAAAGGTACAGTACACATCCAAAGTGAATGATTTACATACAATCCTTTCTTGCCTCTAATTTAACTTGTTTTCCAAATGAAGTTAGCCACTGTCAAAACCTATAAGTTATATTAATTTACAATAACAAAACTAAAAGTCTCAGTGAATCTACTTTAACCCAGTCAGATKTTCTGTCAGGTGAGGTGTTCAAAACATTGTAAAACCTTTTAAAAGTTTTGCAGTGTGTTGAACAAAGTGTGCTGGTTGGTCTCCTAAAACCATAGGGAAGTCTTCTTACAGTTATTCTAGATAGAGACATTAATTTTTAATTAAAAAAAAGACCACCTTCATCAAGAAAATGGCTCGATTGCAGCAAATTTAGAAAACCTCTTTCGGTGTGAACACTGTCATGATGCTGCTACATCTTTAATTCTCCTCAAATAGTTTTCTTTTGCCTAATTTTTGCATCTCAGAAATGCTCCTCAGTGCTTTCGTTGTGCTCAATACCTCCACCCTGGACATGTAGACCCCTCTATACCTTTCAGACTATGTCCATGACCTTCTCAAAACCATGGTTAGGGTTTGGAATAGGAGTGGACAATCCTGATCCTAGAGGACCGCTATCCTGCACGGTTTATTTGCTTCCCTGCTCCAAAGCACCAGATTCAGTGATTGAGTTAACTCTGCAGGTTCTGCAGAAGCTTGKTTATCACCCATTAATTCAAATCAGGTGTTGGATTAATGAAACAAGTAGGGTTGAGCCGGATACTCGTTTCAGACAGAGTATTCATTACGGATAAAGGGCTCGACACACAGGAGGCGACGTCGCTCGCTCTCCATTCATTTCCTATGGAGCCTGTGCGGTGAGGCGACAATCGCTCGCCCTCCTCCAGCTAAGCGACCGGCGAAAATAGTGCATGTGAAATCTCGCGCTCGTACACGTAGACGTGCACACGCGAGCTTGCGACGCGACATATGAAAGTTGAGAAA